CTCGGCCTGAAGTAACCAACAAGTGATAGCAATAACCAACAGCAACCAACCTCTGGCAAGACTACTGATGGCCCCTCCTACGAGAACTATTTATAAGTGTACTTATGATGATATGGAACATGCACCAACACCTATTTATAACAAAAGGACTGAATGATTTTTGTACTTGTTTGAATTAACCCATCCTTTACTGCTTTTAGTGTGATATTAGCCCAAAGTTAACCCAACCTAACTATGGCCGTTCCACATTTTTCATATTTCGGACTATCCACTTATTTAAAAGACCACGGTTCGGCCCGGCTGCAAATTATTTTAGCAAACTTATCCTACCCTTCGTAGTTTTAACTTTCTGGTTCTGGCCGTTCCATATCTTGTTTTCCCAGGACCATGTAGTTTTCACTTTCTGGCTCTGGCCGTCCCACATTTTCCGCTTATTTTCAGTGAATAATAGTAAATTGCGGCCTTCTAACGGCCAAAATTTATTATCCCCCATTGAGGACCCGAAAAAAACCCCAAAAATTCATGTGCAAAATCCAAAAAATTCACCCCAACAAGCGTAGGTAAGATTTACATGTATTACAACGATGAGAGCAACGCACCAAGGAAAAGATGGAGGGGTTTTTCAAAAAAAAAACGGCCTCTAAAAAAAATCCGGCGCAAACCTGTCCGAAATTTTTCGTTTTTTGGCATCAACATATTCCAAATCTTCTCGATCCTCTAGGTCCTCATCAATCCTCGGCTGATTTACCGGTAAACCAACGCGCTCCGTAGAAAACATCGCATTTGCAAAAGAAAAAAACCAGCAGCAACAACAATCTGTAAAATTTTCATTAAACAACTCAAAGAGATACTTATGGGACTCAGCGTGAAATAACAGATCAGAAGGGCTGTACACAGGAGTCATATGTAAGGTGATATTTTACGGTGCAAACTGTCTTTCATCGTTTAAATTTAGCAATAAGGTGATATTTTATGATGCAGTCTTCTTGTAATTTTAATTTTAGATGATGTGTGTTTATGCAGAAAATAAGGGTTTAAAAGTGTTTCATTCCTTAGCTGTAAACACTGAGACCGGACTATGCATGCGAGTAGGAGTGGGAATCATCAGTACAGCCTCCTAACCGCCATGTATTTGAAAGGACATGTAACTAATTTGCAAGACGAGAGTATATGAAAGAAAAAGAGGGAGAGAGAGAGAAGGTGAAAAACGCGCGACAAATGCTAACAATGCAATACAAGCAAGGGGGGGGGCAGATGGGCGGGAAAAATGGGGTTATGAGAGGGGAGGGGATAGGAAGTTCCTCCCCTACGCAAAAACTAGAAATACAGTTATATGTGCCAAACGCTAACAATGTAATACAGGCATAGGCGGGTTCAGGACAGACTCTTAAGGGGAAGGGGGTGAGTGGGCGGGGAATTGGGGCTCATGGGGAGGTGGAAGGGGCGGAGCGTGGGAAGGAGAGCCCTCCCCCCAACCTCGGATATATGCATACTTAAGAGTTAATTAAGCCCTTAGTTTTCTTCAGTTTTAGCTTTAGACCCGGACTTTTGTAGCACTGGTGCCTGTGCCACTGACAGGGGGGAGGGGGGGGGGCTTTTGTACTGCCATTATATATGCTGCGCATTGAGCTGCTCAAAAAACGGGGCTAAAATCTACAAGGAAACAATTGAGGAAATACAGAGTGCTCATGCACCCGCGTACACACACATCCCCACGTGATGAGTACCGCACAGCCCCGCACGTACATAAACCATGCGCACACACACCCCACCCTTGATCTCCTCCCGCACACTCCCTTCCTTCACAAAATTTATTGAAAACAATTGAAGAAATTGCAGACTGCTCATGCATCCACGTACACACACATCCCTATGTGACGAACGCCGCACGGCCCCGTACACTCATATGCCGCACACATACACATCACTAACCCCGCCCCCTTAAACACCCCATACGAATCACACGGCACAGGGTACGCTTTGCATCATCACCCCAATAAAATCGATTTCACCGGTGAAACGCCCCCTCGGCCAACTCAGCACTCTCTTTCTCTGGCACCCTCCATCGAACCCGTGATCTCTCGCTCACCCGGTCCATCTGATGTCCCACACCAACGCACAATCGTTGCGATATTTTGTACTCTCTGGCAATTGCTAAAACACGGCTCAGCCGTGCAATTGGCGATTGTTTTTGCTTGGTTCGCGATCGAACGGTTGGATTTGCCACACGGGGTTTTTTTTTATATGAATGGGGTTCGGGTTCAAGGGGTGGGGTTTGCTGGGCGAGGTTTTTTGCCTGGATGGGGAGACGGGAGGGAGGGGTTTCTTCCGGTCCGGGTTTGGGAGGCGGGTTTTGCGGTGCAAAGTTTTTTTATCTAAGTGGGGTTCGCGATCGAACAGGTGGTTTTACTGCACGAAGTTTTTTTTACCTGAATGGGGTGCGGGTTCAGGGTGTGAGGTTTACTGGGCGGAGCTTTTTGCCGCAGGGGGAGGGGTTTGCTCCGGCTCAGGTTTGGGGGCGGGTTTTGCGGGTTTTTTCACCTAAGTGTGGTTCGGGTTCAGGGGGTAGGGTTTTACCAAGCGGGGTTTTTTGCCTGGATGGGGACAGGGGGAGGGAGGGTTTTCCTCAGGTCCGGGTTTGGAGGGCGGGTTTTGCGGTGCGAGATTTTTTCAACTAAGTGGTGTTCGGGTTCGGGCAGAGGGACTTACCAAACCGGGGTTTTCTGCCTGGATGGGGTCACGGGAAGAGGGTTTTTTCCGGTCCGGGTTTGGGAGGCGGGTTTTATGGGGCGAGGTTTTTTACCTAAGTGGAGTTCGGGTTCGGGCGTTGGACGGGTTTTTTTTTCAACTATGTGGAGTTCGGATTCAGGGGGTGGGATTTACTAAGCGGGGTTTTTTGCCTGGATGGGGACACGAGGAGGGGGATTTTTTACAGCTCGGGTTTGGGA